GCCCATGTGATTGTCTGTCTCTTTCTGTCTCTCTCTCTCTCACACACCCAGATCAGAGAGAGAGAGAGAGAAAGGGGAGAGAGAGAGAGAGAGAGTGTAATGACCCGCCCAAAACACAGACTGAGAACACTGCTGATTTCTGGGATTTGCCAATGGAATGAATGCCTTGCTGTGATTCCCGCATTCTGCTGTGGTCCCAAGTCTGTGTGTGTGCGTGCCTGCTGGTTTGCATGCCTGTCTGAGTGCTTGCCGGATGTGTGTGTGTGCGTGCCTGCTSGGTTGCATGCCTGTCTGAGTGCTTGCTGGTTGGGTATGTGTGTAACCCGCCAGGGTACTTGTTGGTTGCAAGGCCCACCGGGCCGGTACTTACCTGTGGCCGTGACTTTGGAGGGTTGCAGGGGTAAACATGCCGGTAGCGGGGAGTAGGCCCACGGCACTTAGAGCAGCTGGGGAAAAACACTCAAGACGACTAGTTGGCATTTTTAGAGGCCCAGTAGCGGTAGGTTAGAGGTAGGCCGGTACCAGTCCAAGTAGCCCGGGTCTAGGGCCTGTGCGGACAATAACAGAGCCTGCAATGATGTTTCCCTCCAAAAGGGAGGAGGTACCGGTTGCTGGGAGGCGGCTTGGCCTAGGAAGTCACCGCCCAGGAGTTGAGTCAGCAGTAAGGGGGAACTTCGGACATTGATTCTGGTTCATCCATTCATTGTTATTATTATTGTTGAGAGAAGAATAAGATTGGTGAAGAGAAGGAGGAAGGAGGAAGGTGGAGAGAGAAGGGGGAATTGTCATTGGTCTTGCTGGTGTACTTCTTCTTCTTCTTCTTCTTCTTTTACCTCTCCTCTGGTCTTTATCTCTTGCAAGTGCTTTCATTTCTTTCGCAATTGGGTGGCATTGTCTTTCATTGTGAATTTGCACTTAGGGTGACCAGGATCGTAACACAGAGAGAGAGAGAGAGAGAGAGAGAGAGAGAGAGAGAGAGAGAGAGAGAGAAGGTGGTGGTGTGTGTGTGGGGGGGTGCTCCCAATGAATCTGGCCCCATTTCTGTTCCAGATTTTGTGCAGAGAAGGGGTCAGATTAGTTAGAAGATGGGCCCAGGCCAGGGGTGGTGTAGGCCTACCAACTCGGGCCATGATGGACCTGCCATGGATTGTTTTTTTTTGGCCTTCTGAAACTCAACTAGTGTAAGTTGAGAGCTAGTGTTTTTTTCTGCCTATTTCAAACCACAGCCAAAGTTACCCAAAAAAAAAAAAAAAAAAAAAATCTCAGCCTCTGCCCAAAACCATCTCTTGTTATGGTGGCGGAACGACTGCTGGACTCCACCTCTGTTTCACAATCTGCATGCATATTCTGCGGAACGACTGCGGACTCAAAACCCCTGTTTCAAAATGTGCATGCATATTCTTTCTCCCCAAGGAACGCCTTCGGCCTACTGCTCCAGGTGATCACTGTGTACTCAGTGACTGGCCTCTATAACACCATGGCCTTCATGAAAAAAAAAAAAAAAAAAAAAGAGTTTTGGCCCAGATGTGTGGATGTCACGAGGCGTTGGGCTGTTGGCTGACAAATCCTGAGCACATACATATGGCCTAAGGGCTTACATGCATCTACAGTTGACTTGGGGAGGGGTAGAAATAGATTTAGACTCTAGGGTATAGAATATGGTAGTTACCCCAGCAGGTCTGAGTTCCACCTAACCAAGATAGGGGCAAGCTAGGGGAAGGAGGGTAGGACTGTCAGTCTGAGTTCCGCCTGGCCTTGGGTAAGCTAGGGGAAGGACGGTAGGCTGTCTGGCTGGGGTACTGACTGCTAGTTAGCTGTCCCCAAAAAATAAAAACCCAGGGGTCTACGATCTCTACAATAAGGATACGAGGTTGGTAGAATATAGTGGTGCCTGGCGTCCGAAGTTCCCGTACAGTGAGGCCTGCCCGATTTCGCTTCCACTGGGGCTGGGGTAATTGCTACCGTCTTCACCCGAATAGAACGCGCTGTCATTATCGCAGCATCTGGACTGAAAGTTGGGCGAAATGCAGCTATAATGACCGGTCTATTTGGGTGAAGACGGTAGCCTTGGTGCCTATCACTACTGTCTGGTCCAAGTCACCCACCTAGCCATTGGGTGATGAGCTTGAGTGGGTTACACTGAGGTAAGATAGTTGGGTTAGGCGGTACGCTGGGAGTATTGATGAGTGGTAGGGTGGGAGGTGACCTCGTATCTGAGGACTGCGAAGGCTCATGGCTCCCGGTGATCCCTGTGTGCCTGGTAATTAGCCTCTACAACATCCTGGACTTTTTATATTTAAAAAAGAAAAAAAGAAAAAAAAGAAGACAAATTGGATCCGGCAATGGGAGACTGGAAAAGCCACGGAACCAAAGCCTGCATGTGCAGCAGCTGCAAAAGGGGTTCTAAAAGGGGTTACATGTGGCCTGGGTGGGTGGAGATTTTCAGAGAGGGTATAGTCCCGGGACCTGGTATGTGGTACCATAAGCATTTTGGGCCTGCAGGATGTTCCGTTACAAGTTAAACTAAGTCTTGTGAAAGTCAGACTAATCAGACTCAAATTGAATGCAAATCCCTTTCTTCTGTTAGTATGTGCAAGATGGCTTCTCTTCATTGGGGATTCTGAGACTCCTAAGAATGGTGACACGCTCGGTCCCATCACAACTGGGTCCAATATTGGTGCCACTGTGCCAGTATATGTTCTTGAATACGCAGATCGTCTTTTTTTTCCCAGATGGTTGGTATTGGTTACAGGCCTTACTGTGGCCAGGAGGTGGTTGACATCAGGATGAATTATGGATTCCCTACCTCTATTTTTATTTATTATTATTATTATTATTTTAAAATTACCTCTATTTTCCAAGCTTTGCCAGCTTTTTGGAAAAATACTGTGGATCCATAATCCAGTCTTTTTGGAAATCCAAAATAAGTTCTGGTCGACCACGAGTAGGTTACCAATATGTCGGCCGCGAGCATTGCCCGCCAGCCCGAAATGTCGGCTGCGGGCATTGCACGCCAGCCCGAAAATCAAGACTGGCCGCCGATCCACAAGCTTTGCGCGCCAGCCCAAAATGTCGGCCACGAGCATTGTGCACCAGCCTGAAAATCAAGACCGGCCGCCAATTCAATTCATCGGCGGCCGCCCTTCCATTTCAGGCCAGCACGTTACCCAGCACACCTCTGAAAAAATAGCAGCTGGGAAAGATACAAACCAGCTTGCTTTGGTTGATCATGCACCACGGCACGGTGGTCCCGTTTTCCTGTCTAAATCCCTGATAACGCCTCCAAATGGACGGACGGGTTCTTGTTGTTGCAATGGGGTCACTGGGGTGGCATAGAGACAAGCACTGTTATCTGCACCATACAGGTACACAGAAGAGACACTCAGAGGGGCGATACTATGGACCCTTTGGACATTACCCTTTGGACATTTAAGGAACTCAGCCGTCAGGGGGGGCGACTGACGCTGCCCATGCTTTAGGCAGAAGTCAAACACACCATCAAGCAGACAATTTTGGCTGACTGGGAGTGTCATATGCGAAGGAAGGGGTACTCAAGGAAAGCAATGCCGTTCTTCAACACCCGCTGCAGTGTTTTCTCAGGTCTGGTTACTATCATGATGGACTGCAGTGCCCCCAAGGGTGAGCCTCATTTGGGTTTCTCCGGTTACTTCGCATTTCTTTTCGTGATGATCATCACGTACGAGAACTTCAGAGGGCAGTAAGATCCAGGCATGGTCCATATCCAATGGGAGTCCCTTTTTCCTCTACTTCCGCTATTCAGATAGATTATTGAACGTAGTGCAATTATCACTCGGTTATGTGACTACCCCCTGTAGCTTCCCCTTTTTGGGGGTAAGCTCAGTAGAGTCGCAAAAGCGAGTTATGATTGCACTATGGGGCAAGATACAGTTCACATTTGCACTTCAGGCACCGTACAGGGCCAGAAAGGTGCATTGTGTACATTGTCTGAACTTCAAGTTGAATTCAAAATTGTATCTTGGTCCACAGTGCAATTATAACAGTTACTCCGTTTTGTGACTACTGTGTAGTTTCCCTTTTTTTGTTTTTCATATAGGATGTTTTAGGAGAACTCGAAGTAAACAGTAGATTAGGAGAGGTGAAGAAAGAGGTTCCAAAATTTGACACTACCCCAGTCTGGGGTCTGCTTGGCGGGAGACCCTTGATCAGCTTGAGTACTGCGGCAAGGGTTTCCAAAATTTGACACTACCCCAGTCTGGAGTCTGCTTGGCCGGAGACCCTTGATCAGCCTGAGTACTGCGGCAAGGGGTTCCAAAATTTGACACTACCCCAGTCTGGGGTCTGCTTGGGCGGAGACCCTTGATGAGCCTGAGTCCTGCGACAAACTTCGTGAGGGATGCAGCCTGGGCCTGTTTCGCAGCATAGCTAGGATAAAAAGAAAAGAAAAGAAAAAAAGACAAAAGGAAGAAATGATAGAAATCCTTCTCACTCACCTCTTCGTAGCCCAAATTGTTCAAGAAAATGAAACAGGGTGAGTGGCTGAACCTCACAGGCGGTGGCAGGCGTGGAACAATGTCGTTGTTGTTCACGAATCTGAGATATCTGAAACCTATCGGTTTGCCATCTTCTCCATTCATGGAGGTCATCCTCGTGCTCGCCATGCAATCCAGGAAGCGTGCAAATTTGTAGCCCCCAGTCCTTGGCTGGCCAAAGGTGCAAAGCAACTGCACTCTTGGCTTGACAAGATTTTCCGGATCCTCATCGACCAGCAAATGGGCACAGAAGACGGAGGCCAGAGCGGCCCCGAGGCTGTGCCCAGTCACAAAGACGTACAGGTCTTTGTCGCGATGCAGCTCCTCCATAATGCGATCTCTCACGATATCGTACGGCGGCCGACTCTCGTCCCGCAATCCCATCTCCGTCGTGATCCCATCAGCGCTGATGACCCTGTAACATGGGATACTTCTACGACAGTTGGGTGGAGTCATCAAGGCATCATAAAACCCTGCATGCACTTTCCCCAGCAGGGCTCTGTCAGGGTTCTTGTCAGTTCCCTGGGGTGCCTTCAAGGCAAATTCGAGATCGACCAGCCAATCAAAAAGGTTGAATGGCTCTGTGCCCCGAAAGGCAACCACGATGGCTGTCTTGTGCTTGAACACGAAGACCTGTGTGCCTGTCATACACACACAACAAAAACACAAGGCATCCAAAAATTCTTGACAAGTGAAAAAAAGTCTTAGACTAAACTGCAGCATAAATTGACAGCTGCAATTCGCTTGCTTGGTGTCCAAATAAGTCCAGCTACAAAACCAGTTCCACAGCGGGTTACCCTGAAGGGATTCAAAGCAGGTTCAGGCAATGATACACGTCATCGGTGGCCTGTTTTCCTTTCCGGGGGGTGCATGACATTTCATCAGCGGCCTGTTTTCTGCTTCTGGGTGTCCAAAACTGCCCTCCGCTGCTCAGCATGAATGGGAAAGGTACTGATGGTTTAAGCCACCACTCCATCCGGACCTATTTTGACAAATCAAAATTCAAGTTGCATTTCCCCGAGCCTAGGGACCTCCACTAGAGACTCCCTATCCCCCCCCGGACCCACCACAGACCCAGCAGCCCCACCCAACACCCCCTCCGCTGCCAGAAAGAACCCCCACACAGACTTCCAACCCACTCCCCGCCCCCTCCCAAACACAGTCACACCCCTGCTTCCCCTCCATCTCGCCTCTCCCACCCCTCCACCACCTCCCCCTCTCCCAGGAGAACCCCCTCCTTCCACTCCTTCCACCTGTCTCTTATACACATCTAGATGTGTATTCGTGAGCACATACATATGGCCTAAGGGCTTACATGCATCTAC